AGGTCCCTTCCAGCCCTAATGTCTATGAAATCTATGAGGGACTTCCAGACCTGGCTGAAGAACACTCTCCTTTGAAAAACGTTGTTGAGACCGTGATTGCTCCAGTGAAGGTTGCAGATAGAGTTCCCTAGAAATTAAATCCTTCCTACATGCACATTAATTTTCCATGGAAGAATGAAATTCACCTGAAAGCTCATTTTGTCCCTCATGGGAGCAGAAAGGAGCTAGGCAGTTAGAAACATCTCCCTGCCTGGCTCCCAAGACGGCTTGGCTCTCTGTTTGTTTGATCTTGTTGGGGACGTGGGTCCCTTTAGTGGATTTCAGGTAGTGAGAGTTAGAGGTCCAGGTGGCAGCACCCACACACATTAATGACTGTAGAAGTGGCACTTTGTAGTCTAACGTGCTGCTGGCTCCAGGCTGTTCTGTTGGGCTGAGATGAAGTGGTGGGGCACGTGGCAAAGGGCGGGGGGGGACATGGATTGTAGTGAAGGGTAGCAGTCACCTGTTCCAGATGGGTGGGGCAGGGGATAAACCTGAAGTGGGGTATGAAACAGGTGGGTTGGGGTGTGGTTATCCTTGTAAACCATATGTGACAAGAAGCCTCCAGGGCTGTAGAAGACACTAGCTGGTAAGGTCTAAATTAACATTTTGAATAATTGCCAATATAAGCTGATGTTGCTGAAGGCAGCAGGAGAGAAACCAGCTAGATAATGCCAGCAAGGCAGGGTTAAATCCTCCAAAATCAGCTTTGGGCATATTTTCTGGGCACAAAGCCAAGTGGCTCTTAGCAACATTGGCCAGAGTGGGTGGGCTGGATTACCCTGTGGGAGAACCATAGCTTGGCAGCTGGTGTGAGCATGGCCTGAGCATACCTATTGCGACCTGGGAGTGTTGTTAGGGGGGGCTGCTGAACCCTGGGGATGTTGAAGGTGTTGCTGGTGCTGTGGGCTGCTGCAGCTTCGCTCATCTAGTTTCAGAAGTCCTGCGGCCCTGCTCAATCTGTCTTCTCTCTCTTTCCTGCAGTCAACTGTGATGGTGCTGCGCAACATGGTGGATCCAAAGGACATTGATGATGACCTGGAGGGAGAAGTGACTGAAGAGTGTGGCAAATTTGGGGCTGTGAACAGGGTCATCATCTATCAGGAGAAGCAGGGCGAGGAGGAGGACGCTGAGATCATCGTTAAGATCTTTGTGGAGTTCTCCATGGCCTCTGAGACTCACAAAGCCATTCAAGCCCTGAATGGGCGCTGGTTTGCTGGAAGAAAGGTGGTGGCAGAGGTGTATGACCAGGAGAGATTTGATAACAGTGACCTGTCAGCATGAACTCTGCTCGAGAGACTTCTCCCCTGCCCCCTTTGTTTTTTAGCCATGTGTAAGGAACGCTCCAGGGTGGGCGCAGATCTCTGTGATGTATGTGTAGTTTGGATAAAAGTTCGAAGAAAGCTCGTGTGCATGCCTGAGTGTGTTATGGGCTGGCACCACATGGGCTGTGGAACAAGCCAGCCTCTCAGCCAACAGCCTATCAGCCCTAGGAAGGTAAGGGTTGGAGCCCAACAGCTGCTACTTTTGCTTCTGCTTTATGCTTGCCGTTGTTTCTTCAAAAATGCCCAAGACCAGGTTCTACTTCACCATATGGGGTATGAGCTGTTTTTTTTTTTCTTTGGAGGTGGGTCAGAGCTGGCTGTCTCTTACTGGTGTTTGTAGAGTACCCCCTGACCCCACTGTACTATTAGCATGTGGGTGATGAAGAGCCCTGCTGGAGCACAGCATCCATGTGCAGGCAGAGCTCAGGGCCTAAGTAGGTCCTGTGGTGACCCTTACACCACCACAGGGCTTCCCCTTGGCCACTGGGGAGATCCCTTCTGTAGTTTGGGATCCATGGGAACGGTGTAGCATAGGCTGTCCCTCATGGGCAGCTTTCCTGTGCTACTTTGCAGACTTGAAGTGAGGGCAAGGAAAATGCCAGACAGACCCCGACATGCATCATCTGGCTCTGGAAAGACCTTAAGATCCTCTTGGCTCTGATGTTGCAGGTTGGGAACTTGCAAATGTGTTTGGTCACTGGAACTGTGGGGAAGGGAGTTGGACAGCTGTCTGGGGACAAGGGCTTTTCCGCACACTTCTTCCAGAGGTGAGAGGATGGTGGGCACAAGTAGGCCATGCTGCGGGCTTCACAGTGAGCTTGAGAGTAAGGACCCCAAATGCTGCATATGCAAGGCAGGGATGCTCAGGCATGTGCTAAACTAGGCCTTGGAAGACTGAGCCCAGTTCTACTGTATTGAGAGAGTTTATTGTGAAGAGAAAAAAAACATGCTGTATGGATAACTGCATTGAAAAGGCCTGCAAAGACATCTGTAGAATTGCTGTTTAGCTAATATGTAAGGTAGGGCGTTAAAGTGCTTGAGGGCAAGATATTAAGGTCAGTACTTAAGGTCAGAAGAGAATATGATCATTTTGTTGACCTGCATGACACTGGCAATAATTCCTCGTTAAGCAGATTTGAGGAA